TTTTTCCAGCAAGAATTTGCCATCACGAAAACATGATTGTGACACATGGGTGCATCTTTATCGACGATAATTTGAATAAATTAGTTCGTAAATTTAAAAATTTATAAACACGAGCGATTTTTTATGAAAAAAGGGAAGTAAATACTTGTTGATACAATTAATTTAGTCAATTCCAATTATTTGAACTGTACTCGATGAAAAAAATTGTATTCGCAATCGGAATGCAATTGCAACCAGAGTTGATTTAAGAAATTTAAATTATATGTAAAAGAAAGTCAGAACAAGCAGAAATTTACATAGATATCCTGTTTGTGTGCATCTGAAACAATTTCAAAAATTCTATAAAAATTTATTATGTTTGAAATGCAATCGTTGACACCATCTGGCAGGGAAACTTGAAAATTCCTGCAAATTTGCGTTTGTGTAGAAATTTGCAACTTTCTCAACATGAGAGAGAATTTGAAGGAATTTTTTCTTACTCTCCGATATTTTGAGTGTTGCATAATTCTTGCTGGATTTTCGACGAACAAACCTATAATCAGCCCTATCGCCGATTCCATGTGAATAAATCGGTCACATAATTTAACATGCAAAACAAAAACAAATTGGTAAAAAAATAAAAATGTTGCTTCTTTGGGAATTAGAATTATATTCGGTTGCTTTAACAAATCTCCATTTTAGTGTATTTTAGGGCAGAATTTTCCTCACTCAGCCAAATCACTGAGGAAAACAAATTTAGTTGACGTACTTAAATTCTTTTCTCAGTACAAAATTTTCCCATAAAAGTCATAGGCGAAACCACTCACTACATCGAATCATTTTTGATAAGTACAGTAATTTATAATTACAACACGTACACATAAATATTACTAAAAAAATGAATTTGCCCTCAGACGTGAAAATATGATGAAGCATTCGAAACGAATTGCACTAGAACCTGTAATTATGAGCTACTTTTTGACATAAAACGTACGTACCAGCACATATCAAAGCAATATAAATATATACAGTATTGGACATATCTATAGCACCCCCCTTTCAAAGCGATATTGTTTGCCACTTATGTTTAGTTATTTGTTTTTAAGAATTTTCAATTAAAATACAGTTCATTCTCTAACAAAACCCATATAAACACATGTTTTAAACTTTTAAAAGACCGCAAAAAAGCGCAACAAACTTTCCCTTAAATTTCAAACTTTTTTCTCAGAAGCTCTAGAATTTTTTTGAGTACACAGTTTTATAGGGCATTCAATTTTAGTCCAATAATGTGCACGTTTCAAGTCGCTAAAGATTACCGTTGATTTTTTAGAATTTTTTAGAAAAGTTTGAAATTTGGGTGAAAATTTGTTGCACTTTTTTGCGGACTTTTAAAAAGTTTTAAACTTGAGTTTATGTGAGTTTTGTCTGTATTTTAATTGAAAATTCTTAAAAATAAATAAATAAACATGAGTGGCAAACAATATGACTTTGAAATGGGGGCGCTATTGTATTGGCCAATACTGTATGTACATATTTACATGTTTACTCGTAGTATAAACTGTATTTAAATGAAATATTCTACGCTAATCACTCATTAATTTCCAGCTTAAGCGTTTCCTACAGAATAAGCGATCGTAATTAACACCCAGCGTTATGATTTATAATACGAGCATTACACCGCATACATATCGACGTACTTGATTGGTTTTTAGTACGCGTTTACAGGGTTTAATGTTGATCTAAGGCTATGGTTTTGATCTATTGTGCCCCCTATTTCAACTTTATAGGGAGTTTCCACGCCACCCAAATTGCGCAATTTCAACACTGTTCTCAGCTGAAATTGCGATACGATTACTCAAATTGCCCATTCAAAAATCTGTTACCAAAAAATTTCGTATGAACCTGGTTCAGTGAAATTAAGACGAAATTTCTTCAACTAATGGACAAAAAGAAGAAAAACCAACTTCAATAACGAGCGAATAAATAAGAAAACCGAACTAAGCAAAATCAACAAACAACAACAATCAAATAAACTGCGATACAAATTGATATTGAGATGGTAGTGTAAACAGCTTAGGATTTCAAATTGAAATTGAGTTTTAAATTGCGCAATTTGGGTGGCGCACAGTGGGGCAAAAAAGGTTGCTGTGGACAACTCAATTTGGAGCGCCCAAATATGAACCGATTTCAAGTTTATTTCTTTTAGATAAGAGATATTTAAATTTCGTGTCGATCTATCCGTTGCGATTTTTTAAAAAAGCTCTAGTTTTTTATTTATTTATGTTGAAAAGTGAAAGAAAAAAATATATGTTTGAATGCTTCCAATTGTTTGAAAAATATTTATAATGTTTGTCTGCAAACCAAACTTGACAAGGGATGACGGAAATTCGTTCCAAAATAAATCGTTTGAAAAATACTTGAAATTAATTTCAAATGCCTGCAGTTATTAAAAAAAAAACTATTCATAAACATTTTTCCATAGGAAATATTTATTAAAAAAATATTTTTAATTTGCCATCTATACTGATATATATTTTGAAAGCCGTTTTTTTTTCTAATCGAAAAACTCAAGAACAGCTGTACCGATATTTTTGAAATTTTGGACCGTTTGAGTCCTCGAGTCTCCACCTTTTATCTTAAAAATTTACTTTAAAAAACGAAGTCGGAAATTTCGAAAAAAACTGTAATTTGTGCTAGAAGGTAATTTAAGCATCTGTAACTGTAACTGCAACTGTAATTTACAGTTAAAAATGTGAATCTGGCAACATTGGTCATCAGGTTTGTTACGATTTGCAAAAGAACCCGGGAGGAATGGGCGAAGTCTGAAATCATAACCCTGTTTATTTTCTGTACGAATGTTTCTAACTCTCGGCTAATCACGTAAAACGAAGACCAAGTGTATACGGCAACTGATATATTTTTAATTAAGTTCGCATGCAAAAATCTAGCATTCATCCAATTAAGTTGTCAATCTGTGTGTAAGGAAAAACAAATCCGCTCGTTTCATGACATTTATGAGTTATAACGTAACATAAATTACAGACTAATTAGTTTACTAATTAAATGTAATCGAATGCATATACATATGTATTTACATACATATGAACATACACATACAGTTGATGTCTACAATTAAGACGTTACAATTCCCGTTCTGACTCTTGACCGTGCTGCCACTCCCACTAAAGTGTTGCTTCTTAGCTTTAACATACATATGTACATCGCAGGAAATGTATAGTCCGTTAATGGCCATTTCCTTTTGACAAAACTTCTGTATATAAATCGAGATCAAAGTTTATTAAGGAAGATCTACTGCTGTTCAAAAAGTATCCACAATCTAAATAAAATTATGTGGAACGATTTTTTTTATTATAATTTATTTTAATTTACAGTTTGCAATGTTTTTTTCCAAAGTTCAAAAATACATGTCTTAAAAAGCACTGAAATTTTTATAATCTTTCAAGATCGGTGAGAGGTATTGCACAAAAAAAATTTTACCAACATTTTATATAAGTTTTTGCTTGTATGATTTTTTAAATTTCGAATTTCTGTAATTTTTTTATTTTTTTATTTTATGGTAAAAGTAAAGTTTTGACCAAAACTCATCCAAATCAAAAATGGTCGATTCCAACAGACAAATTAGGAAATTCAGAGCATTCAGGTTTTGAATTGAAATTAATATAATTGACAAGCCACTCTATAAATTGCATTTGTAACTAGGTGGAATTTTTTTCTTCAATACAAATATTCAAAAAAAAGCTGCATTCAAACTTTTTCAATAAAATCACAAAACAAAAATCACAACGGTCGTCTAGGGTTATTGTTTTTTTTTTGCAAAAATGTGGGCAATCGAATTCCAATCAATAAAAAATTACGTTTTATTAAATAATCTACTTGTTTGGCCATAATTAATTTTGGCCACGAAAATGGGCAAAATTATCCACAGTGCATTGGTCGATGAATAACTAAGTGAGAGGAGGGACCAGTATGTTTGCATGTATGTATGTATTTATATAAAAAAAAAAAAATATTTATTGGTTCAAAAAAGGTGGGTAGGCACTGTGGCCAATGGTAAAGTTCGTTTACCACCTCTACATGGTTGTAAGCCATTAAGCTAATTTTTGCATATGCACGCATTTAGGCGCCTAGTGTTAGCAGACGCGCCTAAACAGTCGATTTGACATGAATTGACCCATGTACATACATTAAGGTGCCTCGCCAAAAAAAATTGGATTTTTACTGGAATTATAAAATGCATTATATTTTAAAATACGTCGTTTTATGAACTTATCTTCTTACTCATCTCACTTCCTCCCTCTCTGCTTCTCTACCCTTGTCTCTTCAGTTACTGCTTGATTTTTGATTTATGGATGTATGAGGATGGCATACGTCCGGGACACATTATAGTGATCGATTTGAAGGGCGTCACTTTGGGTCATGTAGCACGCATTGGCATATTTCAGATGAAGAAGTTCCTCTTTTATTTGCAAGTGAGTATTTTTACTTTGAATATTTCATATCTAAAAACTTATTGGAGTTCAAAATTATTGTATTTGCTTACACGTACGTTAGGGTGGTACTGAACATCATGGGGCACCCCTTTATTTTGTTCTTAAATTTAAACAAGAAAAATTTGCCTCATTTTGCTAAGTTTCAAAAAAAGTTTGTTTTATCATTATACAAAGTAAAGTTCGTTTACCACCTTATTCTAGAACCTATGTGTATAATTCATATACGGTAATCTGTTTTCTTTTCACAGGAAGCAGCTGCTATTCGTCTAATAGGATTTCATTTTATCAACATTGTACCATTTATGGATAAAATTTTGGGTCTAATGACACCCTTCATGAAAAAGGAACTAACCAGTATACTGTATGTACATAGTAATTTGGAAGATTTCTTCAAGCATGTACCGCAAAGTATATTGCCCAAGGACTATGGCGGCCAAGAGCCGGAATGTATAGAAATGAGAGGTGAGAAAATACTCATATTTCATAATTTAACTTTAATGCTGGATTCATTTGGAAAGTTTTAAGTACCCGGGTCTACGTAAACGGAACGATACAGATTTATATCTGGCCAAGGACTGTTAATCTAGCATCACTCCCCAAAAACACTTTGGGGAATTTCTATGCTATTACAACAACTGAGTGCATGGTGATTTTTTTAAATATTTATAATAGGGGAAAAGCAACAAAACATGTGCTTGATTGCTACGTAGCAACTTCACACCTAAAATGCTACTGAAAGTGAGTACGCCTAATGTTTTTAAAGTTAAATTTTTTATAAAAAAATATAAATCAAACTATATAAAATTTAGAGATATTCAACAAATTTCCATCAAAATTTTGAACTTTTTATTGTGAATTTTTAGAAAATTAAAAAGTTCTGAATTTAATTGAACAATATTTTTATAAAAAAAAATTTAAAAAAAAATACTTGAAAACCAAAAAATCACCATGCACTCAGTTTGTCATTATGTTATAAAGATTAGTCCGACATTTTTTGTCATTTCAGTGCCTAGTGGAAATTTGACATACAACTTTTTTATGTTATTCCAAGGTGTATTAAACACCTACGCCTTAAATACGCCTTGTGTTATTCGATATCTTGATTTTTTAGAAAAAAATATACTTGGTGCCGTTTTCTCAAGTATGTTTCAAAATTTATCTGCCCTTCAATGACATTTTTGACAACAAAATTTTTGTTTAAAGGGCAGAAAATTTTTAAAACCTACTTGAGAAAGCAGTCCTAAAACTGTAAATGGCGTGGTGACACACTCGATATTTTTTTTATATTTTTTCAGAAACCTTTCACCGCAAACTCAAAGATAGTCGT